TGTTGAGATCGCGCGACGCATACAAGATGGCAAAGCGTGATTGGAGCCATTTGTAGAGCAGAAAGTATTATAATATTTCGGATGCACTTTCGGTCTCGGTATGCCGGTGCAAACGTGAGCCACATAATGCGCCGCGGACTAGAAATAAGTACATATGCAAAAGACTTCATTATTCGCTCTTATGTGCAGCGTGCATGTGTGTGCGCGCGCGTGTGTGTTCGTTGTACTCACTCTCTCTCGGGCAGTACCAGTACGGGACGGAAGTGGGCTAGACGCGACGCACGAAGCTTTTTCTCTCTCATTCTTAATCTCTTTCTGTCTTTCTCACTCGTTCTTTCTGTTTTAGCCCCTTTTTTCTCAACTGCGTTCACACAAATCTCACAACATAATGCGTTCTCTCTCTCTCTCTCTCTCTCTCTTTCTCTGGACGTTCGGATTTCAGCCTCCCACACACGACAATGGTCCTGCAAGAGAGACCAGTGCGAATATATAACATGTAAGCAATGCGATTCTCTCTCAAGTATATAAATGCTGAGTATATCGCTTTTGCTGATGAGTGCGTACATGTGCGCGCGTGAGCGTGTGCACCTATGAGAACCAAAAGCTGGAATGGCATACGCTTTTAATGCAAAAAAAAGGAGAGGTGGGAGAGCTGGACGAGAGCAGTAGAAGAAGAAAAAAAGGAGAAAAAAAGCAAAGAAAAGGAATTGCGAGATAGAACAAAAACGGTTTCTCAAAGTGCATTATGCGATCGGTGGCAGGACGCGCTGCTCTGTGCTCTGCTCTCACTACTCACGAGCAGCGACCATCAGTGAAAGAAAAGAAAAGACGGCATGAAGGAATAACCCGCTTATATTCCTACGTACACTAAGCTTCGAGTAAAGTACTAGCCGTCCTACACCACCTACCCACCTTTGCATTGAATCCTTTCTTTATTTTCGCGTGCTGCGAAAAAAAACATTTCGATGAATTTAACGAATGCCGATAATGCGCGAGAGGTTTTCTTAAGGGCTTCCACGGGGGTTTAATACACAAGACACGATCGCGTTATCGCGCCACACGATGCGTGTGTGCGTTGGAGATTTATCGCTTATGAGAACGACTCAAACACGACGACGAGGCCTTATGTGCAGCTGCACGTAAAGAAAGATATAGCACTTTTTAAAAACTATCAAAATAAAAGAAAAATGCCTCCGCCGAGTTTGAGAAAAAGCTTGGCGTGGTGTGCTGTGCATGTGTCCGTCCGTACTGTGTGTCTGGGCTATATGAGGGAAACAGGTTCTACGAGAGACAGAGAACGAGCTAAAGCAAATCGTTCCATATATAATACTCTTTCTCTTTCGCTAATTTTCGATCCCGCTCGGTTCATTCCTCTCTTTCTATATATCGCCTTTTCTCTCTTCTCTTACGTACTCTTCATCTTTTATCTTTTTTTTGTTATCTTACTTTTATTTTTATTTCTTCTTCCCCTCTCGATCACGATCTTCTCTTCGTTGTCCTTTTTATTTTTTTTTATTTTCTTTCTTTTTTTTTAGGGGGGGGGGGGGGNGGGGGGGGGGGGGGAGTTCTAAAGAAGAAACCTCTCTTCGGTCTCTTGGACTCGTGTCTTAAGCATGGGTTTTCAGCTTTCGCCTCCGTCAGCGGGTGTTGCTTCGTCGGAATCGTCGTCTTAGTTGCTCAAGTCGTAATGATCTTTATGTACCCTTTACTTGTACTCGTCGCTAATGGACGCAGATAGATATCGTTTCACGCGCTCGCATCGTGCTTTGTGCTCGTAGCAAATTTATTTAGCTAATTTCGTTTAAAATATTTAGCTCAATTTAGTCAATCGAGTCGCGGATATTCTCGCTGCTGTCGGCTCGTCGTCGCAAAATATTCTTGATGAATTTTGACTCGGCAAACGAATACTAATTTGTGGCGACGATTGTCCAGGGTTCTCTCTTTCTATCTTTCTGTTTTATTTTTCATTTTTTCTACACCAGCACTAGGCATACAAAATCTTTTAATCAAACGTTTCTCTCTCAGGTATACAGAACATGGCTATAAAAATCTGTCGCAAGCGATCTAAGAAATTTTGCTTTTTATTATTAGTGTTTTTTGTGTCTGCCTCTGATGCTCTTTCTCTTGTATATGCGCGCATACAAATGTGGACGCATACACACACATGCACGTTGATGACAGGTCGTCCAGTCAATTAGCATAGAATTTCAAACAAGGCATAGACAAACGCTGGACTGCCGAAGCATGGTTACTCACACACAAACCTGCGCGCTTGCTTAGAGGCCTCTATTTCAACCTCCCATACATATTATAAACTGTGTGTACTATACCGGCCGTGTCTAGGTGAAAAAAAAAATATTCGCATAGACCGCACTTGTCTGGGGTTTGTGTTCCAAGAAGAACAAAAACCGAGTCCGCGCCGTTGCCGCCGTTGCTGCCGCGCGCGGGGCGGTGTGTGGTGGCGGCAAGTAGTTTCTCTCGTCGACAGTGCTGCAAGAAGAGCAAAACGAGAGCCCGTGCACAGCGCACACAAAAGCCCCAAGATTCCTTTCGATTTCTACGCTCCTTTTTCCACGGGCTCTCCCCGATTCCTCTAACGCCGCGCGCTCTCGTCTATATAGGTATTCCTCTGTGTGTACTTGCCATAGAGGCGAAGCGCATCGTTTGGGCCAGCACAAGCAGCAGCAGCAGCAGCAGCAGCAGCGCAGACAAACTATAAGTAGTAAGAGAACGAGAGCAAAAAAGGAAAAGAGGGAGGGAGAGAGGGAGAGAACGAGCGAATAAATTCGCGTTCGGGCTTCGGACTCGCTCTCACTCTGCCAAAGGCGCAGCAGTGAAAGGATGCCGAGGGAGCTAGAGAGGAAAGAGGGAACGTCGACGAGATGGTCAAATGAACGAAGAACGGTTATTTGGCAAAGAGTAAAAAAGTACCTCGAGGAGAGAGCAAGAAGTAGAGAAGATGAGGAGGAAGAAAAATAGAAGGTGGAGGTGGCGGTGGGTCCAGTCGTGGTGTAGCTCTCGGATCTCTCTCTCTCTCTCTCTCTCTCGTTCTGCCCCTCTCCCTCTCCCTCTGCGGGACGAAAATAAATTGAAAGACCCGATGCAGTCTCTGCCACGGTCGAGCGAGCGATACGAGACTCTCTGCAGCGCGAGAGAAAGAGAGCTCTTGCCTTGTGCTTGCTTGCTTGCTGCTTCTTAATATGTGTATACCCGAGAGCGCAGTTTAAAGGCTGAGAAAGAGCAACAAGGCCGCTTCGAGCTCGAGCGCGCTTGCTTGCTTGGCTTGGCTTGCTTCTTGCTAAAGTTACAAGGCCAAGAATACATACTCCAAGCGTATATGTGTATACGTACACTCAGCAAGACCCATCCCGTCCCTTTTAGAAAGTCGTCGGGCGAAATTCGACGAAAAAATAATGCACCGGGGATAAACTGCAGCGCAGCGGACGTACTCGAGATTTTAATTGTTTCGTCTGACTCGGTGTAATGGCACAGTGCACACTCGAAGTAATATCGTATCGAGCCAGAGCTTTTTTTCTTTTTTTGATTTTTGAAGCTTTTTCCCAAAGAGCTCAATATAAAAGAAGGAAGGTTTTGAAAAAAAAAAAAAAAAAAAAACTAAAACTCGAGCGAATTTTCGATTTTCAATATTACATTGATGGAGTACATTATGTAAGCGAAGGAAGCGAAAGAGCAGGCGGCAGCAGTAGAGGGGGATAAAATCGGCCGGTTGTACCGATCGATCGTGACGCAATTTCGAGACTCGGTGGCGTAAGCCATCGGAATCCTCTTTCTATTACAAAGGCGATATTGGCTTCTCTCCGCGCGTGTGAGACATGGCTCGTCGTACTTACACACATAGGTATATTATGGTATAGTCGTCGATGGGTTAGTAAAAGCACCAGGCAGTACAGTAGCGCGCAGCGTATAGCACTTGCCAAAGAGCTCTCGAGTATGTCTACCGCGCGCTTATATAGACGGTCGCTCATCATTATTTCATACGTCTCGTATACATATAGCTCCTCGCGCATGCTAATGTGCAGCAGTAGCAGCAACGGCGATGTATGCGTGCATATATTCGGGCTACAATGGAAATAACAATAAGTTTATAACGCAGCGGCAGCGGGCGAGGCGTGTGGGGGAGTATATGTACGGCAGCTGCAGACGAGACGTATAGCCGAGTTGCAGCAACGACGAAATAAGAGCAAAAACTGCGTTGGCTTGCATACGTGGACACAGCGTGTAGGCCCTTTTATATACGTACGTATCGTCGATTGTCTGTCTCGACATAGTCGTCGTCTTCTTCGCGTCACTATCTCGCTTAAAGAGAGGCTTAGGCTCCTTTTGGGTTAAATCGCGTGAGTCTCCGCTGCCGCCCGTCGTCGTCGTCGTCGTCGTCGACGACGCTGCAAAGGTTCACGAACTCTTGTCTCTCACCTCTTCTCCTCTTCTCCCCTTCTTTCTCCGTAGACGTCTGCGGTATATCTATATGTATACGCGTTTGGGCTTTCTCCTTCTCTCTCTCGAACACACGATACAGACTGTATATGCAGCACGCGTCTCTCTCTAATGTATCGCTTATTCGCTCGCACTCCCTCGTGCAGCTAGATTTCGGTTGATTTTCGCGCAGTTGCCGCGGCTCCCTCAAGGTCTTTGGCGTTTCTTGCACTCTTCGTGCTCCCTCCCTTCTCCTCCGCATCTGCATTCGCGTTTGTTCCGTTTTTTACTAAAACCCGTCGTCGCCTTCTTCGCGCGAGCGCGTTTTTTTGCTCTCCTCTTTTCTTTCATATTTCAGTGACTGTTGCGTGCTTCTCTATCTCAATGTCGGAAGAATTCGAAGATGTAGCGCGGATAAGGTCGTCGCGTCGAGAAATCGGTGTATTGAGTTCAAGGTGCTCGCTCGCCACCTCTCGCGACAGGTGTACGAGCAAATGGTGCACAGGATTCGCACCTTGTACTACAACCACCCGTCCCTACACACACATATATATTAATTCAATCAAATCGATTCCGAAAGTCGAGTATGTAATACACATGAGTTCGGTTTGCACGGATCAGCTTACGCGCGTGCAGTGATGTAATCATCCGAGCCACCCTCTGCTCTCTGCCAGCCATGTAGCCCATATCCGCAGACAGTTGTTGATTCAGATTGGCTCGGCGATGGGCAACTCTCTACTAGTCCTATGTGGCTTTTGTTCGAGCTACCAAACGCCCCATCGAATTTATATACGCATCTATACATACGTAGGCTTATATATAAAAAGCGACGCACAGCTTGTGTGGACATTAGCATTCAATCGGTGCGCGCGGACCGCTTATATTATATTGTGTGTGCAGCAATGCCGCAAACCGCCAAGGTCAAATGCTAATGATCAAAGGCAATGATGCGGGGGATTTTGGGTCATTCATTGACATCGCAAGCAGAATTTGTGCGAGAGAGATCGATTAACTCAAGCATAGCCGAATTTGGAAGGTTTGACTCGCGAACACAATGTCCATGTCCGCGCACATGATTTCTGTCCTCTTGAAATGGTGTCTCGCCCGAGTCTCTCGGACACGTCCGAGGCTCTTTAATTTTCAAGAGGTCTCCCTCTGCGCTCATTTAAATCTATTATAACGAGCGAAAAAGGCTGCATTGTGTATAGGGGGAGGCCATGGCTATGCGTAAAAGGGGGGTATTTACACTTGGTACTTTTTTTGCTGCTGCTACTGCTGCCACGTTGCTCAAGAGCGTATACAACAGCGTGATTCGCGCGAACAAAAGAGCACCTAACGCGCGCTCGCCTGCAGTAATCTTATCGACACCCCTTATCAGTTGCAAAAAAAAACTCCTCTCGATATTTTGTTGTTTACCTACACGTATGTTTCTGTATGCGTCTAACAAAGGGGTATTGGTCGTTTAGCTTATACGTTCCTGGGTTTAGAGTATTATGCGAATCGAAGCGGAGCCCTCTACTCGCGCCAGACTCTCTACTTTGCGTCCTTGTCTCGAGCGTGTGCACGAGTGCGTTGGCGAACATCGCTCCGGAGAGCAAGAGAGAAAGAGACGACGACGGCGGCGGCGGCGGCGGAAGAAGAAAGGCGCACATGCACACGACGTTATGTACGTGTGTGTACCCGTAAGCTCTGGCTTGGACTTTGGTCGTGTCGTGTACACGCGCGAGTCTCCGCGTTTATACATATTTGTGTGGGTAAGCCTTGGGTATTGCCAATAACATGAGCCCGAACTGGTTTGCCAAATATATAAGTGAGAGGAAGACGACAACGACGGCGGCAACGACGACGACGACGACGAGGTGGTGGTGGCGGTGATGGTGAAGGTCGCCGTCTCAGGGGTGGTAAAATCCATGCACAGGACCGAGACTGCTGCTACGCCGTTCTCCCTCCGTCTGTTGCACGTATCTTGCAAACGTGTGCTTTGAGCTGGGCAGCAGCGGCAGCAGCATAAGCAGCTCTGCTCTCTTTCGTCCGGCTCCCTCCCTTTGCGCTCCGTCTTCGAGGCTCTCTCTCTCTCCTCTCTTCTCTGTTTGGTGGTACTACGTGGATCTGTGTGTGTGGGGCTCTACTACTACTACTTCTATAATACGACACGCATATATGCGAGTACGCGCGCACATGTACACGAGGAGAGAAAGAGAGAGAAAGACTGGCTGACTGGCTGCTGGCCTGGCTCTCTTCTGCGCGCTGGCCTGGGGTGGTTCGCCTCGTCGTGCGAATTTCATACACACATCCACACACAATATACACGGCGCGTCGTCTCTCGGCAGCACGCACAACAGCCGGCAGCGCAGCAGCGGCTGCAGCTCGTTCTTCGTCCCAGTCGCGCCAGTCGAATTTATGCATCACGGCTATGTAGGCACGAGAGCCGCGACTCGGCACCCTGGCGGCAACAAAATTCAAGCACCCATAGTACCAACGACAGCGGAGCAGCGGCGCGCGCTAGAACAGCAGCGGCACAGCAGTGACAACGCAACTACTTTAGCTGATAGCATAAGCGATCGTGCCGATAGTGACAAAGCTGCTAGTGGCAACGGCGACGACGACTCATCACTACTACTAATTCTCTCTCTCCCGCGTCCGCCAAACGCTAATCGTCGTGACGACCTGCGCTACTACGACCCGGCTACCTTATTATCCAGAGTGACAAAACAAAGAAGCGAATAATAATAAGTGCGCCGCGACGATGATTCAAGTTAATTTTTAAGTTAGTTCGGTTATTGATAGTTGTTCTCGTTGATCAAGCTCCTAGTGTATCAAGAAAAGTTGATTATTGCCGATAAAGTTCGACCCTAAGTGAATTAATCTCATCTGAAGAGGAGAGTGGTGTGCTTGTATGAAGCTGGAAAAATTGCAATATCGAGTATTGAGTTCATAACCGTGTGCGACTTTCACACTCTCCTCCGAATATTTTTTACTTCGACATAAGTGATTTATTTTTATTGTAATAATGAGCGATTTCGCGAGTGCTTGCAAGAATATCATGAAATTTGTTCGATTCATCGGCTGCTCGTTGACATCCAACGAGTGAGGAAGCAACTACCACTACCTACTGACTTCAAGAGCGAAGAGCCAAGAGTCAAGACGACCATCAACGGCGTGAAAATCATCATCATCGAGGACATCGACATAGCCGACGACATCAACTACAGCAGTAATCATCAGCAGAGGTGCTACAGCCAAGCGAAGATTCGACAACGCAACAAGAAGCGCCGACGAAAGAAGATACGAAAATTATCAAGAACGTAACATTTATTGTTTTTAAGTGCGAAAATAAGTGTAAACGAAATCCATTGAGAATTTCACGTCGATCAATTTGTTGTCAATTTTAGTATCAGTAATTATTATTGTTTTCCCCCGTAATATCTATCGAGTGTTAAGTTTAATCTGTGTGTGTTAATCTGTGTGTTACAAAGAGCAACCGACTATTGCATTACTTGACAATCTTGTTCAACAAAAAAAAAGAAAAAAAATAGAAAAAATAATCATCGTTAGTTTTTACCGACAACTTAAGAGACTTTGAAGCATAAGAAAAGAGATCGACAAAAAGCTCGCGCGCGCGTGTAACAAAAGTGCGACAAGTCCCGAGATTTAACCCGAAGTCATCAGCTTAATCATCAAGTACGTTGGCTATTAGTAGGCGGATGGCAGACGAGAACTGGTTGAGTCCGGGTTAAACATAAGGAACAACAACGAAAAAAAGGTGAACAAAAATTCATAAAAAAAAGCATCATATGAGTGGAGCGAAAGCTCGCTTGAAATCTACTAGATTCTAAGTTTCTTTCATGCTCTCTATAAATTGGTGTGTGGAACGAGTGCGTTGTTACATGATCTGGGGGTGAGTGTAATTGTCGGCCCTTTATCGAGTGCAGTTTGACTACTGCACCTGTGTACCGCAGAAACCGCGTGTACAGAAACAGAGGGAAAAAGAAGCGAAATCGATTCTAGGGAATAAAGTGGGAGAAGAAAAATTGGCGCGCATGAGACTAACAAGTGCTGTGCTACCTCTCGCAGGGGGAGGGGGGGGGCCTAAAAACTTTTCACGTTTTTATTCCTATGTATTGATCAATCAATTCAAATTCAAATTCAATTGATATCGCTAGAACAATATCAATTTGTTCATATCTTTGTGGTTCAGGTTCTTTTTGTTTTGGGAAGCTCGGTACATGTAAAAAATATTTAGTTCTCGTCTAATCGTTCAGTTAGTCAAGGGCATTACCATTACAAAAAAGTTGATTAACAATTTCATCCCGACGCAAAATTCCACTCTACTTTTTCATTCTTTTCTCTCATTCTCTCTCTCCGCGTGCATTACTGTCATTGGTTACGAGTTGCATTCATTTAACTCGGGCGGCACATACACAATGTAATACATTAAATAAGTGAAAGACCAAGCTTACACACACGTAAGTGTGCATACACATACTTATTGTGTGTATTATAAATTTGTGCGCGGGCTCGCTGAAAAAAAATCACCTCTATATAACTCGCTCTCTCGGGCGCGAGTTCGCTTTTGTTTGCTTCATTTTCGTTCTTTCGCGATTCGTTGTTATATATAGTAAATGCTATTATACGGCGCACACATACTCACGTAGAAAGAGAGTAAAAGCAAGTGAGCGAGAGAGAGAACAACTATTTTTCGCGAAACAATAGTGTGTGCATGGTATACAGGAACTTGTGCTCGGGTGTGCATGTGTGTGTGTGTGTGTGTGTGTGGATGTATGTACCGTGCATTTGCCAAAACGCCACAGGTATCGCATACGTGTTCTTTGCTTATTCTTTTACACGAATGTAGCCGCTTCAATTCGTTTTTTTTTGACCGACCGACCGAAATAGCCAACTATACTCGGGTTTTATCTTGCTAATATGCATATTTTAATATAAACTTGTCTCTCTGCATTTTTCATTGCATCAAATTTTTTTCCGTGGCAAAAAAACTACCAAATGCGTCGTCGATCGATCCCCCTCCTTCGAAAAGATTGTACATGAAACATATGATTTCGTGAAATCTCAGTAATATCCTTTTTTTATTTGCTGGAACTAAAGCTCATAACCAAAGCTCATAAACTACGCGAAATTGTTCACAAGTTCGACGACAAATTACGACAAGTTATTCTGCAACCGTGCAAAATCGCGAGACCGAGCTGCTCGTTCGAGCTCGCGCCCTTTCAAATTTGCTGCTTTCTCGCATGTATATAACGTATGTATCTCGTATCGAAAACCTGTTTGACTTACTGAGCGCGCACTTATACGTGGGTAAATACAATTGCACATGCTGCAGCCCGAAAAAAAACGAGAGCGTATAAAATCCGCAAGATTTCACGCGGTATATAAAATAATCGTAGAGGGAATTGCATGAAAACACGTGTGCGCGCAAGTGTAAGGAAAATTTTCCTCGAGACGCGTCGCGCGCGCTCGATGTAACATCACATGACGAGTCGGCTTGAGCGCGCGCGCGCGCTTGTCTGGCTAAATCCGACTATTACTCCTGAAAATTGAATTTCTTCGAGAGCGCGTGACTTTCAATTTCCACCCGACTCGTTACACTCAAACGCTTCTTATTCATTTACAAATGTCTTTGCTCCATCTCTTTTTCTCTTTTTCTCTCTGCATTTCCGTGTGGCTCTAGCTCTCTGTTATTGCACTTTTGTTTTGCAGCGTAACGGCGCAGCAAACGCACAAGCCGTCTCCCTCTGTTTCTCATCTTTCCGCTCTCTCGACACTTTTCAATGTATTTTATTTGATGCGTGTACCTATGTATCGTGTGCAGCGCGCGCGAAAGTTGCAGTGCTACGCGGGTTATTGTTCCTTAGTCGCGCGTTGCATCGATTTTCCGCAGCGGTGCCGGGCTCTCTTTTCTCTCGTTCTCGTTCTGTGTGAAAGAGCGAGCGGAACACGCCTCCTGCATTTCGCCGTAAGTTGTGTGTGTATGTGTGTGTGCGCGCATATGCACCCGATGCATTTCCAACGGTCGGGGTGGATGGAGAGAGAAAGAAAAATTCAAAATGAAAAATATAAAATCAACGGTCACTTTTGCCTGCATTTATAGGAGCGGCGCGCGGACAAAAGCGATGTGTATATGTGCAGTGCAACGCAATGCAACCGGGTGCATATGCACAAAAATCGATGGGGGGAAAAAGTTGCAGTAGCAGCACACGTGTGCGTGCATGTTAGTAGTTGCAAGAAAAAATGCTATATTCGTGCATACATGCGTGCGTTGCGCTTGACTCCCCGTCAGACTGTACATGTATGTACGTGTGTGTGCGTGTATGGGCGCGCGATCCGATGCAACGGCCAAACTCGAATGTGCATGGCAAAGGTTCACATGCGCGCACGCATAGGGGAAGATTATATAGAAAAATAAGAAAGGCACAAAAGTGCACAAGCACATTATTCTAGCAGTGCTGCGCTGCTGCTGCAAGTAGGGGGGTAAAAAAAAAGTCGTCGTATGAGAGAGTCGAGACGCGAGTGGGGGGAGAGAGTGCAACAGCAGCAGCAGCAGCACGCATACACACCAACACATTCAGTGTACGTGTATATGCTGCTGCACATATATAGCGAGGCGAAGTGCAAAAGCGGCTTTTATATTTCAGCTGCGCGCCGGTGCGCCCGTTGGTGAATTTGTCAAGTTTCTCTTTCTCTCTCGTTCTTTTCTGCCTGTGCTTCGTCGTCGTCGTCGTCGTCGTCGTCGGTGTATATTAGTGCATACACATTGGCAAAGTATAAGAGAGAAAGAGAGAGAAAGAAAGAACGGAGTGGAGGTGCATGTACGCCAGTGCGAGCTGCTGCTGCTGTTCTCTGCAGCTCTCTGTGTAAGTGCACGTATATGCGAGTGTAGTATCAGTGTGTGTGCGTGTGCAGGCGATGCCCCCGCCGCCCGACGGCGGAATATATTCGCAAGCAGCAGCAGCAGCAGAAACATATATATAGTGGCAGTACTATAGCGAGTGCAGCTCTGGCTTATACAAAAGGTTGGCAGTGATGCGCATTCCCGCCGTCGGTGTGTAGCGCTCGTCGCGAGGGGCTTGTTGCTTGCTGCTCTCTATCTCTCTTTCTCTTTCTTCCGACGTGTGCAGCGGCGGCAGTGTAAGTGTATATGCAGTGCATTCACGTATAGATGCACTTGGGCTTGCCGGCTTGTACAGCAGCAGCGGCAGCAGCAGCAGCAGCAGCAACAACTCCTTTCTTTTCTTCTCGGCTTGCTGCCTGCTGCTTCGCGCTCATTGCGGACTAGCCAGTGTACAGCGAAAAAGTGAGTAGTGCGCGTATATAACATCGAGTTTATCTATATCTGTACGTACTTCGTTCGTATCTATATATATATATAGAAAAGATAAGTGTGCAGTGCCGTCGTCAACGACGGACTTGCTCCTCGTCGTCGTGGCCGCGCACCGCGTACGGCGCACCAAAGAGGAGAAACGACTCCTCTCCTTTGCCTCTCCGCCGCCTCGCTGTATACCGTTCTACCCTCGGCTCCGGTACTGATCTCCGTGTTATCTCGCTGTGTTATCATTGCAATTGTGCCTGTTAAAACCTTTACATATTATAGCGCATTACATTTATACATATAATATATAGTATACATACATATATTTATTATTTACATCTATTTATCATTGTTATTATACACATACACCCACGGATATTGTACACGTAGTGCTCGGTATTAATTATAACACACACATACGGCGTCGACGTCGAGTCAAGTGCGCAGTTAGAAAGAGAGCCAGTAGCCGCCGCGACGCCTCCGCGAGATGTGCGAGTGTTGATTGTGGTGGTGCTGGTGCGCGGGTGGTGTGTTGAGCTAGTGCTAGGTATATAGTTATCAACATCGACGTTCGTCGCCTCGAGCGCGACGCGTCTATAAAAATTAACAGTGTTTATTTGTGTGCTGCACATGGAAATTTGAGAAAATTGTGCACTGTGCGTGTGATCGACTCCAAAGCTCGTTATTTATTACGGAAAAACAGAGAGAGAGTCTGTGTGCCGCGTTGCCATTGCTGCACTCGCTCTCTGTCTCTCTCTGCCGCCAGCAGCGAGTTATGCACCAGCGAGCTTAGTGTCGTTCTCGATCCCTCTCGCTTCTCGCTCCGCTATCTAGACACGAATTTCCGGTAAAGTATATTCAACAACGTCATGTGCATGCGAATACACGATCATCGTCGTCGAGATTTTGTCGAGTAACGACTTTGACGCCCTCCTCCGCGAGTTGATTCATACATTTTCACACAAAAGAATAATCGCAATTTGAATGAAAGATGTTGCAAAAGATAAAAAAAGAAAAAAATATACATAAATTCATCGATATCTCTTGTACAGAGTGCATAATACTTATATCTACGTGTGCTCGCGATCGGTTATTGCCTTCGCGTGTGTCGCGCGAGTCTCGCCGTTGAGAGGGGACAACTTATCTTTCTCTCCCTCTCGCGAATACACATATACCAATGCACGTCGAACGAACGAAAGAACGAACGAACGAACGAACGAAATAAGAAGTAGAAAAAAATGAGTAAAAAAAGTATAAAAGTAGCAGCAGCGACGGAGCAGCTAAGTTTCGACCGGCCGGCACATAAGTTCACATATACGTGTACACGAATACACACACACACACACACACATGTGTAAATTCTCCTTCTCTTGTACTTTCTGCAAGCCGAGGTTGAGAACATATCGCGATGGGCAAGTTGCTTGAGTAGCAGCAAC